TTCGACACCCTCAACATCGCCCTATCTTACAAAGATTCGTTCTATTGCGAGTGGTTTTATCATTGATAATACACACATCAGCTAGTGAGGATTGTTCATTATATAGAGAGAGAGACTCTTCGAAACTCATCTATATCCTTTTCTTTTGGAAAAAAAATATAGTTGACGATAATTTTTACCAGACTTCAAAACCAACCTTAAGTGGAAACGTGGACATATCGGGCGGTTTGGCACGTGTTATGTTTTTGTCATTTTATTTTTAGCCTAAACGAAAACAACCATTTTTGTTGTAGGAGTGTTTTGGGTAAAAATCGAAAACACAACATGTTTGGTAACATCTTAGGTTTTCAGTAAGTTCGAAAACAAAATATGTTTGGCAAGTTTGCTTCTTTTTTAAAAATTAAATATATAATCATACAATTATTAGTCTATATCTAATAGTCCATTTTTATATGGTTTCAGATATTTATTTCACAACAATTTTTTTGTATCCATTGAACTGAAATAAAATTAGAATTTTTTTTTTATCCCTCGACACTTGGAATAAAATTAAATGTTCTTATGATTCAAATGTTAAAAACTCTCTGATCATTGGTTTTATATGTTGAGTGTACAAATCCTCAACCAATACTGGAACTTTGAGAACCCTTGAGGTAACAAGTATGAGGCTCGTGATTAGAGTAACTTTTATTTCACTTACCTAAACCATCTCCATTATACATGATTCTTGTAGAGATTTGATAATATTTCCTTTTTGTATTAGTATTATTATGGTGTAAAAAGCCCAATATTTCTTTCGTTTTCTTTGTACTAAAAAATCTTGGCGGGAACGTGGAAGTTAGTGGTTTGACTTCATTGCTTTGAATATTTTAAAACAAAAATAAACCTAATTCATTTCAACTTAATTCAACCACTCATTCAAAAGCCAATTAATTTAATACTAACCTGTCTATAATGAACAATCTAACGAAAGTTACACAACACAGTTTACACATTGTACTATTATTTCAACTGCAATCTATAATAACAAAGCACTGGGCAGCAACATGGTCATGATGGGAAGCACGAGTCACAAGTCCAGTCCACTCCGCTCCAAACAGCAACAATGAACCCATTATAGCATCAAACACATAGAATGCCTCTAAAATAAAAACATAAAATTCAAATTATCAGCCTGCAGAAACTAAACATATGTCGGTAAGCATGCAGAAAATACATTTAGAAAAGAAAAAAAAAAAAGAAAAAAAAGCATGCAGAAAATAAATTTTGCTAACCTTTTTTCAAGCTCAGTTGTAAATTCCAGAAAATGAACCCAAACTCAATCCAATATCACAGTTGTCAGTTGCAGTACACAAACAGCAAGCAAACACATGCACAGAGTATAATGAACAAGGATTGCCAAAATGTCCATAACAGATGATAGTGAGCAATGCAGAACTGTAAAGAATGAAATTTTGGTAACCCTTTCTCATGCTAAGTTGTAAATTTTAGAAAATGACCACAAACTCAATCCAATATCATAGTTGCAGTACACAACAGCAACCAAGCACATGTGCAGAGTATAATGAACATTTGGGTTAAAAGCAATTACAATTGGGTTAATAGCAATTTATACATTTAGACAAATTATCAATCCAAATCTGATTTAATATCTGAAGCATGATTAATCATTCATTATATGTTAACAAATTATGATAAGAATGCATTACCCTAAACCAATAACAAGTTATATGAACTAAATAGCTACACGTATTGCAAGGGTGCATAGAAATCAAATGAGATCAAATTGACATCTACCTCATAAATCAGTGCTGTTAATTATGAGAATGAGACAATCAAATAGAAAAGAGAGAATGTCATTTTACTTCAGAAAAATGTAGATAATAAAGCAGACATAATTCCAAGATCACACATTGTGTTTTTGTAAGTTCAGTTCTACCTTCTAGATTTAAAGTTCACATTCCTCTATAAGAGAGAGAGGAGCATACCATCTATTCTCTCTCACCACCACCCACCAAATGAATAGAAATCAACCGTTGAATAATAAAAGAAGCTAGAAGTAGTTGAAATAAATAGTTGCACGTATCACATGTGTAAGGGTGCACGGAAATCACATGAGATCAAATTGACATCTAATTCATAAGTCAGTGCTGTTAATTATGAGAGAGAGGCAATCAAACAGAAAAGAGAGAGAATGTCATTTTACTTCAGAAAAATGGAGAATAAAGCAGACATTATTCCAAGATCACACTCTGATGTTTTTGCATCTTCAGTGCTACCTTCAAGATTTAAAGTTCACATTCCTCTGTATATTACACTTTCAGAGATAGGAGCATACCATTTATTCTCTCTTTTCCCCTTCATCCACAAACAAAGAGCAAATGGCCAATCATTTAATTGAAGAAATCTGCCAAAGCACTTACAATGTTCTACCTAATAATATCCCACATCAGGTTTTGCAGAAGTATTTCACTATCCCAACTTAGACAGAGGAGTCAAGAGTGACTAAGTGAGACAAAGGCGATAGAGGAAGTGATATAGAGGGTTTGAATCCATTAAACAAATGGGCTAGACCAGTTTTATGATACTTTTACTTTCAATTAATAACACCTGGCATATTAATATCAGCTATAAGAAGAGTACGGTGTCAACAATAACATGTTGGAAAATAACAACTAAACATTCTTCCAATAAAAGAACCTAATTATATGAAAATAATACAACAGTTGCTACAGGATGTCATTTACAACTTGAGATTGTCTTCTATAATTTAGAGTACACTTAACTAATTATTTCATTTTAACAAAATTTGATAAAAATGCATTTCCTCAAACCAATAACATGTTAGAATGGAACAAATACAGCTGCTGAATATTGCGATGAGATCCTCCTTCAAATTGACATCTACCTAAGAACCAGTGCAATTAATTATGCAACGATTAAACAGATAAGAATCAATAAGTCATCATTTAACTTTAGGAACAATCAACATAATAAAGTGGTCATGATGCCAAGATCACACTTTCCTCCACGGTTCCTTCCTCTATAATTACACATTAAAAGAGCAGGAGGAATAAAATAGAGAGCAATACATTGTACTAATCTAATCCAAGCAGGTAAATATAAAGTACCTCACAGGAGCATCCTTCGTAATATAACAAGAATAAGTATACAGCTAGGTGACTCTGGCTCATCTTGCTTTTAGATAGAGTTTCAAATTTAAATCCATGTCAACACTAGCACCTCCTAAATCCATCCAGGTTCCATTGCAATGGATATTCTGGAATTCGGGCAAAAGAATTCAGAAGAATATAGTATAGCTGTACTTTTGGCTGTTGTTACGCAAAAATATGGGCAAAAGAACATGAAATATTACTAGTTTATTATTCATTTAACCATTAAAGGTACAAAGATAATTCAAATTTCATACAAACCCACCCACCCCCCCCCCCCCCCCCCCAAAAAAAAAAAAAATGAAACAAAATCATTTGATACTCATTAATTCGATATATTTGGATGTCAAAGACATCAACTAAAAATTTGAAGATGATGTCTGCTAAAAAGTCCTATTTGGGCTTAGTCAAAAGGTCTATTTTTTGAGTTCTTGGCAACTGTTTTGTCAAGAACTCAAAAAATAGACCTTTTGACTAAGCCCAAATATCAGAAAACAGAACCAAGCAAGCCTGTAGCTGTTAATACCAAAAAGAAAGAAAAAAATGGAAATCTTTTTGACTATATAACTTGTCTTTACGAAAAAAGCACATAATATATATTTTTTTACAAGTGAAAAAGCACATAATATATTATGAAAAACATCCTTAAATCTTCTTTCTTTCCTTCCACCTGCAAACTTTAAAACATTCCCAACTACTGCCCTGGTCCAGCATCAATCCTAATTAGTAACACGATTTTGCATATTAGATATTTAAAACGAGCAGCATGGTCAATTAGGTTTTATAAGTAAAATTGTTCTTCTCATACGCCCATCCCTATAGCATTAATTACTCAATCCCATCATTGTTCCCATACTTAGTAGAATATCTCCTATAAGACAACACCGTTAGACTTCAAGTAGCCAATATACACAAATTTAAAGACAAAGATACCAGGGACTAATTGCCCAGGAAAAAATAATGATAAAGATACCAAGTACTAATTATAAAATGCTGCCAAAATCTAATGACCCACCTTCCCACCTTTTCTCTCCTAAGTTTTTTCTTCAAGTTTCTTAAATCGCCAATTCGAACCCCCTTGACAGGAAGTCATCTTTAAGGGAATCAAATATAACACGTAACAAAGATATAAGGTGACATTATTATACAAAAACAAAGGCAATATAATTCTAGGCTCCAGATTAATTTACTACTAGAGGATGAGGATGAGAATTCAATACCAGCTTTAGCAGTTGCAATGTAATTAGATTAATAATATTTCCACAATCCACAGATAGTACAGCTAACAATTCTAACGGCCAGCAATATGCCTGATCATGTCATTTAAAGGATCAAAAATTACAGTGAGATAATACAGGCAGAGCAAAAAGAACACAAAAGGATTAATTTGGGATTACCTCTCCTTTCTATTCTTCTTGCTCTCACCTTCTCTTGTGCTTGCTGGTTTTTCCATCTCATCCACCATTACTGTGGAGTGGAACTAGACTTCCCACACAAATTAGATCTCCATAGAAAGTCGGCAAACAAGGAATCCTAACATTCTTGATTGCTTTCGTTCTCAAGTCAAACCAGAAAAGCTTTGCATTGTCCCGGTCCAGAAGTACTTCCCCAGCACAAACCCCAACACACACACACTGTAACGAACCTAAACCGAAACCATTTATAAAAAAAAAAAATCAGCATGACCTCTGCTAAAAAAGGTCCTACGCCAATCTGCTTAAATGTATAAAAATGCAATGGCCTCTCTTAAACCTTCAAAATTTATCTAACATGTCCCAGCACACAACGCAAATAATATAAAACATTCTCAAAACAACATCAACAACCTCCTCAAAATAACCCATCATCATTATCATCTCATTCATCCAGAATAAAGGAGCACTTGTCTTATACGTAGTCCCATGCTCACATACTAGAATTTTACTCCAATTACATCTACTTACAGTCCATGAATATAATTACAATAACAAGAGTCCATAAGTCTCCGTACAGAATACAATATACTAAGTTTTACAAAGATAGTGAAACTTAGATACAAAAATAGCAAAATGATCTTCTAATCCAAATTAGGCATGTGGTGGAACGTCATCTGCCACTTCTTTCCCATGTCCTAAAAAAATGTTAAAATACTAGGGTGAGCATAAAGCTCAGTAGGTGGTGCCTAAGACACACCTCTTGTGACCCCGTGAATCCAAATAATGAATAGGGCAATAGCAAGCGGGATCATACCAAGCCGGGGAATACACAAAATTAATTTTCAAATTCAAAGCAAGCAAATGCCGTGCCATGGATGCAATGCCATGTATGTCACTCCCCATTTTCAAAATCATCCATCACTTTTCAAACTGTTAATATAACCCGTCCGTTGGTGACTCCGCAGCGACACGAGAGAAGGATTGGCTACTGTCCCTGACCCTTAGTACCTCCGCGGCGTCATTTGGGGTCCAGCTAGCTCAACCACGCTGGGGTAATTTCCCCAGTTCTCTCTAGGTTATATTAACACCACGGCCCTTTGGTAACTCCGTGGGGACCGGGTTTTCTCAAAAACCATTTTATCAAAATTTCTTCCCAAAAATCCCTTTCACTTTCATTGTAAAACACTTTCCCCTTTTCTTTCATGCCCAATGTTATGGACACATGCCATGTATTTTTCCAATAGTATGAAAATAGAGGAAATTTACACTTCATAATTTAACATGCTTTTTCATAGAAATTTTTAGGAAAATAATAAACACCATGGCACGGAAATTAACATTTAGGCATGCTTCTCACATAATACCGTCAACACATATAAGCATAAACTTTCTATTACAACAATTATATCATTTTCAAGGCAAACAATTTAAATAAGACATGCTTTTCATACTATTTAACAAATACACATATTTACATGCTTCATATACACAATTAAGTCATTCAAGGGACAATCTACTCAAATTAATCATACTTGACAACAATTAAAATAGGAAAAATTCACGAAAGTACAAGAATATGAGAATTAGAGACCCCTACCTCAATCCAAGCAAAAACCCCCAAATTAAATGCCCTAGGTCTCGAAATTCCCAAGTGCACCAAACAAGAAATTGTTCCGATCAGCTTGTAGATCTCGCCGTGAGCTTCAATTTGTCGTAAACGGCACTCAAAAATACCAAGTATTGAAGGAGTAATCAAGAATTGAAGATTGGAAGCCAAAAGAAAAAAGAAAAGTCTAGAATGAGGGGACAGAGAGAGAACAGCGGGAGGGGAAGAAAAGAAGAAAAAAAAATGGAGACCAAGTTGTGGTCTCATGACCACTTAAAAAGGGGCTGTGGGCCCCACCAATTTTCTTTTATTTTTTCTTTTTCTTTTGTTTTCATTTTACACCACATATATGTATACACATTTAACAATTCCACAACCTTATATAACACATTAAATAAAATGTATGTGATGCTAATGGACCCAAATAAAATCCCCGTATGCAACAATTCCGGCAACGGGTCCCACAAGGGACCGTCCGACCCCAAAAACTGAAAAATGCAAAAATGATCACCTTTGCATTTCAAAGAGTTCTGAACTCAATGAAATACTCCAAACAACTCTCGGACATAACTGGCAGGTCCGGCACACTCCGTAGTGTCCAATATGAAAATTTTGAAAAGACGAAAATGCCCTTGCAACAACAAAAATTTTCATAAAAAAATGAAAAATAATGAAAAATGGAAAAATTACACACACCCCAATATTCCTCTTTTACTTGTAAGAGAGATGTTTCGACTTCTATTGATTCTTTTCTTTGGATATAGTCCTTTCTGCACTTCGTGAAAAACAATGGCCCTACTGTTTGTGCCAATTCATCCAGATTCCCAAACTTGAATCTTAATTGCATATTTTAAATTGATTTTATCATTGGCCAAGGCATATCAGAACGCTGCATGGACAAGCGAGAGTTGCTGACAAGTAGGGATAGTCTCCGTCACCTTCAGCAACTCCCGCTAGCTGATGCATCAGCCTCTGGAGGTTTTTGTTTAAAGATGTTCCTTTTGACACCAGTTGAGCCCTCAGCCAAAAGACTCGGAGTTTCTAAAATCTGCAGATCAAAAGTAATACAACATTAACTTAATGCTTACCGTCATGTTAATTAGATATCATAGGAATTGAATTATGATCACAAGAAATGTTGTCACCGAATCAATTTTAGTTGATGGGACATGCACACGTACAAACAGCACACACACGCGCGGGCTACATGCATGCAAGCGCACTTGTCACACGTGCGCGCACACATGCACAGAGAGAGAGAGAGAGAGAGAGAGAGAGAGAGAGAGAGAGAGAGAGAGAGAGGTACTCTTTTCTCATGAGATAAATGATCATGAAATTGCATAAACGAGAAAGATCTTTTATGCCACTACCATTGGCTACATACTTCAAAGCATCTAAAAAAATATCATGCAACAGATAACAACCTTAGTTGCAATAAGTAGGTAAGAATAAATGCTACTGGAAATGCCAGGTAAGACAACAGAGTAGCAGTGATACCAACCCAACAGGGCGAAAGAGGGAATAATGGGAGGTAGCAACTTGTCCAAAACACAATTAAAAAAAATAAAAGAAAAGAAAAGGTACAATGTATTTTCTCTTAAAGAAAATATATAATCAATAACTGATAACATAAAGTTACAAGAAATCTCGTTTCTTTGACAGGAGAAGCTGGCTCACACCCAACATCTCTATATGAGTATATGTCTTAAAGGTCATCCCAATTTACAGTTTTTTCCCCTTATTTTTTTATTTTTGGTAAAATTTATAGAGGATGAAAACATGGAAAGATGTTAAATTACTAAAACAACTTATCGTAATGTTTATTATATATAGCTAAATGGATCACTTCATGTTATTTGATAGAGAAAAAGAGTGCTCCAAGTATACCTAGAAACAGAAAGGTTACACTCATCATATTGTCCATGCCGGCAATCAAATAATGCATGCCAAGATACTCCTATAGGACTCTCACAGACCTCATGGTAAATATCGTCAACATCACCCATGCCTTTCTCGCAAATGAATGGAGTCAGCCACATGAATTCTCTTTTTACATTCTTTCCAATTATAATCATTTCTCCTCTAATATTTATTTTTTAAAAAATTATTTTTAATTACTTCATCCCATGCCTCTTTGTCACTTCCATTCTGGACATTTCCACTACTTGAATGCATTGTTCTTGTTTCATTTTCAGCGTCCAACACTAGGGTCTATACAATATAGCTGACCTAATAACCATCCTCCTGGGTAAATGTAACTTCACTAATATGCAGACATTTTCCACATACATGAATTTCATAGGTCTTTAACACAATTTTACTTATTTCAGCATAATTATATTGAATAAATGAGTACTTTATAATTCAATATGGCACCACCATCCCCCCTACCATGACCTTTTTTAATCCATGTCTTGGAAACATGGAAATTGGCCCCAGTTATATACTGAGGTAACACTGTAACAAATATTTGTGAAACCATTTTTGTTCCGAATACTACATTACAAATTTCAGGTCTCTTATAAATTCGTGTGGCATTTGCCAAAATTTTCATGTTTACCTTAAAGGCCTAGTGACAAAAAAAAAAAAAAGAATATAAATCCCACAAAGTAAGTTGACAGGACATCACATGCGTATCAATATGGATCCAATGAATCCAAACAACAAATAATTTAGTGAGTGATTAATAATAAAATGCTTTAAACCCATTCTTTTTCTTTTTCCTTTTTAAAGGATAAAAGAAATGATTAGACCGAGGCTTGCGTGGCGAGGGCATAGTGACCATGGGGTAGAAGCCTTCTTCCGTTAGCACCTAATAGTAATATAATGACCTCTGCTTGTAATCCTTAACTAACAATACGTGGGTCATTTGGTCAATTCCTTGTTCTCTCTCATACTCCAACTTACATCAATTCGCCATTTTGGTGAATGCAAGTGGACCCAACATTTCACTTAACGAAAAAGAAAAATGTTTGGGGCTATTTGAAATAAAGTTACTATCCTTGGAGTTTAACCCACTTACATGGATCCAAACCCGTACCTCAAGTCATGGCCAAAACAAGGCAACATGAACAGAGGGACACTTGATGATCATATAATAAACAAACCTGGGAAAAGATGCTAGCATATTTGCATACCTTCAGAACAAGTTCCTCAAAGCATTGCTCCACATTGGCCCGAGTTTTTGCACTACATTCAATGAAAAGGCATCCACATTCCCTAGCAAAGTCAACACCCTCTCTTTTGGTGACGACCCTTTCACTCTCCTGAGAAAGACAAATTAAGATGTAGGCATTAACCTTAATATGGCACAAGCATCATCATATTATCCAACAATGTCGCATTTTATAATTTGCTTAAATTTACAAAAAGAAAATGTCACATTTAATAAATTTATAACACAGAAAACTCTGAACCCAATCTCTAGCACATGAGTAATTCAACTGTGCAAAAACTGTTGGAAAAAACTTCTTGTAGCACCCAAGGGGTAAAGATAAAAGAGCTCTAGATGCAAATTTCTAAAAGCCATACCTTATCAACTTTGTTGCCAACAAGCATCCTGATGCAATCCTGATTTGTTGAGTACAAGTCAATTTCTTTAGCCCATACATCAGATAGATTCGTAAATGTTTCTCGTCGTGTTACATCATAAACTGTACCAATTTCCAAAAGTAATTGGTTAGGTTTACACAATAACTTGGGATTTAAAACTTTGAGAGGAAGTGGAAGCTTCTAATAAGAGGAATTAGGACAAACCACAGGCAGAAACCAGCTGAAATAAATATTATTTAGTTAAGAAAAATGTTTGAGGATTATACCAATAAAATGTAGAAATAAAAGTGCACAGTACAAATAAAATTGCAAGAGCACAACATCAAACTTCAACAAAAATACAGGAATTCTAAGAAATGGAAGTCATCTAATACCAAGAATTTGCCAGAAAGGAGATTGGTGCCAATTAAAACCTACACCAATGATTTTTTTCTTTTTCTTTTTCCCACTACAATAAGTATCACATAACTCACATTCCATGGATTAGAATCAACAAACTGCCAGAACAAGTTTTATTCTGAGAAATTATCTCCTGTGTTGCAATAGAATACACTCCTTGTTCTAAATGCTACCACAGTAGTCATTATATTCATTCTTAAATCATTTAATTATACCGAAGCAAAAGTACGATTTACCTATCTGATAGATCCATTCACATCCTAGTATTATAAAAAGTAAAATGAAAATCAGACGTAAATACAAAAAATCATGGCCACACAAGGTACCAGGAAAATTGCACCTTACTAATTGCTCGTAATAAGGATAAACTGATGAATAGACAAACTTAAAATATGTTACCATTGTCTCTTTCTCAAAATGGATTCTGTAAACAAATAGAAAAGTTTAAGCAGCAATACACTTTCGAGTTCCGTAAGGCAGAAAATAAATCATCAGGATGAAGTTGGCAAGCAGAAAGGGTTCAGGTTATATATGATAAACTATGGAGGGTTACATATCACACCATATAATTAAGACCTGAAGCGACAAATGCATATTTCTATATTCTGATGGACTGAATTGAAAACGTGAACAAATGCCCTAACTCTTCAGACACAATCACTGTCCTGTAAACTACCTAAAAATTCACAGAAAGGACAATTTAGTTCATTTTGGTCATAGCTTCCTGAATCTTGTACAGAGATGATTTATTAAATGAGAGCATCCTCCATTTTCAGAATTAAGAAGGCAATGACCGAATACCTAGTATATGAAATGGGTATTAAAAGGAAAATAAATCCATGTATGATGCGATTCTTTCAACCAATCATGACAGATCAAGGTTTATGATCAAACAACTTGAGGAATTTCATATATCAATACAACATTGAAGGCACAAATATTAAATCAAATTGCCAGAGAAAATAAATCAACCGGGACAAATGCAGAAGAAAGAAAATAAATTGCCATTATTATTCCTAGAGCTCATCTGTAATATGAACTAGTTAATGTCCTGAATCTTTCCTGTCCAGCTGCACAATAAAAAGTGAGAACAACATTGTCATATGTCAAGCAAATTTAACTATGGAGAGTTCTGGACACTGCCAGATTCAACTCTTTCATGGGGATTCATGTTAAATGTAACCTAAAGAAAAAGTGGTGGTAATATTCCGTCCTAAACAAACATAAACCCTTTTGCCCTTACTTATGCTTTGAATTCACCAATATTCCCTTGGACGAGTACTCAACTTAACTTACCTAACTTTAAAAACATAAACAAAAACTAAACTCAAACATTCCGAACATCCTTAAGGATGGTACTCAGAGCTTTTGGCGCTTCTAAATTAGTAATCCAACCATCTGATATCTTTCTCATATTTGCATCTTCTACTGTAATCCATAGGATTTACTCCCTACAATGATAATAAATTAGACGATTTAAGGATCTTTAGGATCTTTACTTATATTCCCTTATGCTTCACTGTCTTCCTACTACCAGTCAAACCAAGGGTCTATATGTGCAATAGCAGCGGAAACCATTTAATGAGTTATGAGTTATGACCCACAAGCATGTATGTGTACTTGGAAAAGATCATAATATCAATCGTAAAAAAAGGAAAATTTTGCAAGGAATTAGAATATAAAAATACCAGGATTTGCAAAGAAACAGAACTGCCAAACCATAATATCACATTTTTATGCAAATCCATTAAACTTTTGACAAAGCAGTAAGCAATTAAAGATCTTGTGTTTCGCAGAAATAGATTTCTGAAATCAATATTACTCATGGGATGAATGTCTTGGGGATCAACCTTATAGCATAAATCAAGAAAGAAAGAAGATTTTGCAGGGAATATAACTTCTAGATTCTCTAAGGTAAAGAAGGATTAAGAGCTTGAAAATTTACTCAAACACAGTTCAAAAAGATATGACCAAATTCAGGAAAAAAAAAAAAAAAAGAAAAGAAAAGAAAGAAAGATATGTCCACACATGCAGCTGGTTGAAGTGCCCAGACCATATACAATCACATAATGCAATTATAGATTTTGTGTTTCTTTAACCTCAAAATAGATTTCTGAATTCAGTAATTTTACATTAGAGGAATGACTTGGGAACAAACTTTTAAGTATTAATTATAAAAAGGGCTGGGCATAAAAAAAATTCTAATTTCTGGAAGGAAAAGAATGATTAAGAACATAAAAACTCGAAAATAAAAATCAGAAAGATTTTTAAAACTTAAACTGCACAAATAAAATTGACAAAGATAATGTCCACACATGCAGCTGGTGAAAGAATGCCAGCTTGAATGGTTTTCTACAAGAAAACAGGTGGCAGAAGATTGAAGAATGAAGGAGATCAAAGTCCCTTAACCTATCTTTGTTTGAAAGGAAAAATAAAACCTTGTAAAGCTTGTTGAGGAACAAAAAGAGAGAGATACTGTTTAAGGTTCCATTTATCTTGATCAAAACTCTAAGAAGTTTTACTTATCAAAAAAAAAAAAAAAACTCTAAGAAGTTTGGGGGAAATTAAATACACCTCAATTGGCTTCGAAAGTATACTTGTTAGACTAAAGCCTAATTTGTTTGAAAAGGAAGAATCTCTGAAGAAATATTTTCCATCAAACAAACACAGCGCAAGTTGGGATGTATACAGTGGATAAGACTGTCACCAGGTTTCTCTGGGAAAGTAACAAATGATGGGGTGAAAAAATAAAAGAGAAGTAAGAATAAGATGAGAAAAAGAAAAAAAATTATATCCCATATGGCAAAATGTGCTTGGAATTGTTATCAGTTTAAAAGATCAACTCTTCCTATATATAGGCTTCTTGACTGCTGAAATCTACCTACGTAAGGGTTCCTAATAGTCAAACAATGTATACTGTGATTACAAGTGCCTTGGAGGATCAAGAACTCAGCCACCAGCTCCAGGAATCTGTATGCACACAAGTTCCCAGAAAATCCAGTGGAAATAATTTTCACAAGTCAGCCTAACAGTGACTAATTCACTGAAGATGCAACTTCCATTACAAGCAGTATTATCATTTTTATAAGTAAGTTTTCTTTAAAGACACTCAAAAAGGGGAGCGCGTCCGGAGAACAAAACATTTTAAATCACTTTTGCTAATTCTATTCATGTCCTATTTGCCCCTCCTCTCCCTCTTCTGCACCTTCGACTTGTGTGAACTCACACATCCTCAAACAAATTGCCAAGACATCTAACTGCTAGATTTACTAAACATATACTAAAACAAAACAAACTATAATGAGACCAAGAATGCATGGTCCTCAATTATTACCATTCCCACAGGTCATATCCTATATGTTATTATAGTTCTTTAATTCTTTTTTTAGATAATTTTAATGACAGTTAATTATCATTATATTCACGTGTACTGGGTGAACTCAGATGCACGTGGTTTTGACATTTCATTATCTGAGCAGATGACAGTATGTAGTAACCTCAATTACTTTAGCATGAACACTAACTTTTAATATCATTTGATCGCTCATAAATGCATGAACAGTCTCAAATGGTTGATATCATTATCAAAGACTGAATTTGGATAATATCAATGCAGACATCCCTAGCTACACTAAACGGATCCTGCCACTGGTGCAGAAAGTATAGAAAATCAAAATAAATGCCTAAAAACTGTGGAAGAAATCCTGAACAAAGAATAAACATATGATTCTCCATTTTTAAGTATTTTTCTTTCATTTTTTATTATTATGGAGATAGAGTAGATCACAAACACAAGGAGCATTACTTAATTGTATCCCAAATTGCAAGCTTCAACTTTTACCCCCCAATAGTAACATGTTTTACCTTAAAATCCACACCTGCAGAAAGTCAGAGAAAATAATCAGTCCAATCATGACATCAAAGAAACCGCTATAACGGACATGAGAAACAACGGTCACATATCAGCTGCATATATCAGTTTTATTGTATAAACTGTAAGAAAAAGTGATATTCTATCCACATGATCTTAAATGAAGTCTATAATGGGATCACACAAAAAAAAAAATTCATGTCTCTTTTTTGACATGCACACCTGATCTGGACTAGCTTAGGGCAAGTCTACTCACACAAACTTACAGGTAACATTTATAAATTTCAAACAAATTATTGTGGAAACGGCATAAGGAGAACATATATCTTGAGAAATAAACATGCTAATAGGAACAATGTTGTAATTTCAATCATTTCAAAAAATAATAGCTATAGTTCACAGTTCTCTCACAGCTCTCAGTTGTCTTTGATATCAACACCCAGGTCATGGCATCAGAGCCATGATCCAACCAGACACTATATTGCTACCAGGTGATTATTCTTCCTCATTTTACCTTTGTTCTTCTTCCCCTCAATCCTTTTCCTTCAATGTTATTGAAAGACCAGAAGAATGACTTGAGAAAGGTGGCAGCCCGTGCGAGTGTAAGGATGCCTGTACACCTGTCCATACAGTGCAGGGACATCAATGCTTATGGCCTGGTTGGCTTCAATTTACCGTGGGGTGTACTAGTTTGTTGTGGTTGTGTAGTTTTAATGCAACTTCTATGCTAAAACCCTAGTTTGAGCATTCACTTTTCTGATTATTGAAGCTTCTGGTTGCTGTTTATTTTGTGTGTCCAAAATGGCATTTTGCTGCTGAAGTGAGTTTTTTCATGGTTAGATAGTGCTACTTCATTATTGTGATTATTGAGAGTTGATTTTCAAAAAAATTGAGTCTTATTCCATGTCAAAATTAATATCGCTTAGATGGTACTTTTCGATGTTCTTCGTCTGAGTTTTGATGTTCATTACAGATGGTTGTTTGCCAGATGGTCATAATTTTGTTAGCTGTTAGGTAGCATTTTAGAGTATAAATAAGTTGTTTTAGCATTTTAATGCGACTTTCCATTGAGAATAGTTGGCCGTAACATATTAAAATGTTTTCCATGAAGAACGTGTCTATGGTTTATGATGATATGTTTCTTCTTTTTTAGTAACGTGACAAGCCTCTGGGTGATGCTTTCAAGTGATCTGCATGTGCAGTTGCTTCAAATTCTAGTAGATACTTTATCTTCTTCAGACTGTTCAGGGAGAAAAACTCAGCCTTGGTAATCCAGAGAGTCGGTAAGGTTCCTTCAAAGGCCATGATAATTGCAATCAGGGTTAATATGGGTCATAAAACTTTTCATTTCGGGATAACGATTTTGATCGTGGTGGAGATCATAGTCCAGGCTTCAAACAGACACATAATCACAAGTGAAATAGATATACTTGTTATGAAGTAGAGTTGTACATCGACTAAGTGCTATTGAAATTATTAGCATGTCATGGGCTTGAAATGAGATAGATCATGTTATATACTCCTTGAGGCTAGTACATTTCAAAAGCAGGATGTGAGGTCATAGGATTGTAAATCAATTCATGCTGAGAACATCGGGGAACTGTTTTCATTTTGAAGCTTGTGAATGGTGGAACCTGGGAAAGGTCTTGTGTTTAAGCTTCTAGTTATGTGAAAGAATAAGAAGCAGCGTGGTCACTGGGTCTACTGCTGAAACTGAATATAAACATGGCTCGTATTGTTTGCAAAATGATGTTGATGGAGTCTTCATTTTACAACACGGGATTTACAATTCATAAACTTATGAAATGTGATACTCAAGCTAGTTCATTCATCACTAATCATGCATTTCGTGAAACGACAAAGCATATAAAGGTTCTGTAGAGATATGGTGATGAAGAAACAAGTTACATTATGCATGTCAAGCATGAGAGATAGATAGTTAGCTGATGTATTTACTAAGGCTTTAGATCAATTCTCTACAATACGCCACAAGATGGATATGAGTGGATATCTATACTCGAGCTTGAAGGAGAACCTGGAAATATAATAATATTATAGATATAATATTGTATTTTCATTCATTTTAAGTAAAAATGTAAATATAGAAGCTAATCCAATCTAGGGTGGGGTCCAAATTTTGTTTTTTCTCCTAGCTGTCTATTATTCTACAATATATCAATATTTAGACCAATATTCATAAATAAATAGTTATGCAATATCCAAAAAGGGCGCAATAATATTGTGAATATGCTCAATATTCATCAGGGCACTAATTTTGCAAATTCCAGATTTTTCAAGAATGTGACCCTTAAGGTGCCATGAACCAACCAACTCTCTTTTCTTATGAAATAAACAACTTTTCCCATTCCCATAGCCCATCGGAGGAAAAATATGACAAAATAAGTTTTGCCTGCAATTAAATTAGATAAGATGTAAGTGATATATAGTTAAGATCGCAGCAGTGGCAGAGTGTGGGTTGCACAAACTGTTCATAACCAATACTCATGCCAATGTTGCGGACACAACAACGAAAATATGATGTGTGTGAGAACATTTAATTCCACTGGAGTTATTAGGGAGCACTGTATTTCAACTATCAATAAGGAAAGAAAACCCTAAAGACAACCAGCTGAAGCACTACTAAATGCATTAATTCATTGTCAACATAGGCATGATTCTTGCTTATCAAAAAAGAAACATAGGCATGATTCTCAGCAAGGGAAACAATTTTGAACACAAGAAATGGTGTACCGCGCAGATATAGGAAATGATTGGTTATACAAGCCAATTGCTTCAATATGAAACTGCTTCAACCAAACCACAGTGCATATTAATACAATCGACAAATCCCATTTAACTACATCAACATTGGTTTGTAATTTGCATAGAAATATGTCAGAATGCATGGCTATTACCACAAAGCTTCCGAGCTGCAGCAGATCGTCATGAATGGTAGACACCGCGACATCGAATGAGATCAGACAAGTCCGTGAGATGTTCCAAGATCAAGTTCAGCAATTCTTCTGGGAAGTGGGAGGGCCAAAAAAAACTGTGCTTCAGATTTTACTGAACACTTCACCTTTAGGTGACTGATCAATTTTTTAAAAATTAAAGAAGATATTTTAGGCATTATCTTCTTGGGTGAGATCGAGAGACTACAATGCCTACGAAGTTGGAGGCAGCAGCGGTTATTAGGGTTAGGGTTTGAGAGGGGGAAGAGACAGATGAAGAATATGTACCCTTTTATAAAGAGATGATATAAGAATTAGATTCGTGATTCACGCGGTAACTTACACTGCTTGGAATGGTGGGGGGATTTGATGAGATTTTAAAGTTGGAATTATTATTCTTCATTATTCTTAGAAAATAGTTATTCCGTTAAAATCATTTCACATTCCAACAAAAGGAATAATCACACCAAACCAAACTAGTCCTTAGGTCATGTGTTGAAATGAGTTAATAGAATCAAATGAAGTGATAATGGAATGTTTTGTTTCCATCTTTTAATTTGGTAACTTAGTTTAAAGTTAGAGCGATGATTATTGTTCATTCTCCGATAATGATAATTCCTACTAATTTATTTCACTTCCCAACCGAAGGAATGACCATTCTATTTTCACTTTAAAAGAATAATAATAATAAATAAATAAAATATTTAATGAAATGTCGACTACATATATATATATATATATATATATTTATATACATATTTATATATATTTTACAAAAATATGATGTTTTTCTGTGCAACCAAACATTCCATTCTTATTCCATTCCTATTCCATTCTTTGATTTATTCCATTCCCACTTTATTTCATTCAACCACACCAAACTAGCTCTAAGAGAATATATTTGGGTAAAGTTCAAAAAAATTCCCTCAATTATGTCTCAATTTGTAAATATTCTCCCTGAACTATGTTTTGTATATAAAACCTCATAAACTATCACATTTAGTTGCAAAATGCCCCATTGTCTTACCTATTTTTCATTAAATGATCATAATACCATTTCTTATTAAATTACACATGATACATTTTTCTTGTTAAAATAAATTATGGAAAAAATTCATACTAATTTGATGAAATATTCTCCATTAAATTTACATAAGTTTGCCTTTAATTTGTTAAATTAATTATTTAAATAAAAATCATAAATAGAAAAATTTGAAACAATTTAAGTAATTTATTGATTTTCATGAATATATTGCATTAAAAAGAAGATATTTTTTTTATTTACTTAATTTATTAATTTTTTAAAGTGAGTGTAATAAGCTTTATTATAATAAATTAATCATTTTATAAAATGATCGCTACAAATTTATTTATTTTTTTCCATTTTTATAATTAATTGATACTAATTATAAAATTAAGGTAAATGGTATAATTAATATTTTTTTCCATTTATTTATTCATCAGGGCCATCACTACTTTTGCAAATTCCATATTTTTCAAGAATGTGACCCTTAAGGTGCCATGAACTAACTCTCTTTTCTTATGAAGTAAACTACTTTTCCCATTCCCATAGCCCATCGGAGGAAAAATATGACAAAATAAGTTTTATCTGCAATTAAATTAGATAAGATGTAAGTGATAAATAGTTAAGATCGCAGCAGTGGCAGAGTGTGGGTTGCACAAACTGTTCATAACCAATACTCATGCCAATGTTGCGGACACAACAACGAAAATATGATGTGTGTGAGAACATTTAATTCCACTGGAGTTATTAGGGAGCACTGTATTTCAACTATCAATAAGGAAAGAAAACCCTAAAGACAACCAGCTGAAGCACTACTAAATGCATTAATTCATTGTCAACATAGGCATGATTCTTGCTTATCAAAAAAGAAACATAGGCATGATTCTCAGCAAGGGAAACAATTTTGAACACAAGAAATGGTGTACCGCGCAGATATAGGAAATGATTGGTTATACAAGCCAATTGCTTCAATATGAAACTGCTTCAACCAAACCACAGTGCATATTAATACAATCGACAAATCCCATTTAACTACATCAACATTGGTTTGTAATTTGCATAGAAATATGTCAGAATGCATGGCTATTACCACAAAGCTTCCGAGCTGCAGCAGATCGTCATGAATGGTAGACACCGCGACATCGAATGAGATCAGACAAGTCCGTGAGATGTTCCAAGATCAAGTTCAGCAATTCTTCTGGGAAGTGGGAGGGCCAAAAAAAACTGTGCTTCAGATTTTACTGAACACTTCACCTTTAGGTGACTGATCAATTTTTTTAAAAACTAAAGAAGATATTTTAGGCATTATCTTCTTGGGTGAGATCGAGAGACTACAATGCCTACAAAGTTGGAGGCAGCAGCGGTTATTAGGGTTAGGGTTTGAGAGGGGGAAGAGACAGATGAAGAATATGTACCCTTTTATAAAGAGATGATATAAGAATTAGATTCGTGATTCACGCGGTAACTTACACTGCTTGGAATGGTGGGGGGAATTTGATGAGATTTGGAATTCAAACAAAAGTGGAATGAGAATGGTTTTTTTATTATTATTGTGTTTGGTGTTAATTTTAAAGTTGGAATTACCATTCTTCATTATTTTTGGAAAATAGTTATTCCATTAAAATCATTTCACATTCCAACAAAAGGAATAACCACACCAAACCAAACTAGTCCTTAGGTCATGTTTGAAATGAGTGAATAGAATCAAATGAAGTGATAATGGAATGTTTTGTTTCCATCCTTTAATTTGGTAACTTAGTTTAAAGTTAGAGCGATGATTCTTGTTCATTCTCCGATAATGATAATTCCTAGTAATTTATTTCACTTCCCAACCGAAGGAATGACCATTCTATTTTCACTTTAAAAGAATAATAATAATAAATAAATAAATAAATAAAATATTTAATGAAATGTCGACTACATATATATATATACATAGTTATATATATTTTACAAAAATATGATGCTTTTCTGTGCAACCAAACATTCCATTCTTATTCCATTCCTATTCCATTCTTTGATTTATTCCATTTCCATTTTATTTCATTCAACCACACCAAACTAGCTCTAAGAGAATATATTTGGGTAAAGTGCAAAAAATTCCCTCAATTATGTCTCAATTTGTAAATATTCTCCCTCAACTATGTTTTGTACATAAAACCTCATAAACTATCACATTTAGTTGCAAAATGCCCCATTGTCTTACCTATTTTTCATTAAATGATCATAATACCCTTTCTTATTAAATTACACATGATACATTTTTCTTGTTAAAATAAATTATGGAAAAAATTCATACTAATTTGATGAAATATTCTCCATTAAATTTACATAAGTTTGCCTTTAATTTGTTAAATTAATTATTTAAATAAAAATCATAAATAGAAAATTTTGAAACAATTTAAGTAATTTATTGATTTTCATGAATATATTGCATTAAAAAGAAGATATTTTTTTATTTACTTAATTTATTAATTTTTTAAAGTGAGTGTAATAAGCTTTATTATAATAAATTAATCATTTTATAAAATGATCGCTACAAATTTATTTATTTTTTTCCATTTTTATAATTAATTGATACAAATTATAAAATTAAGGTAAATGGTATAATTAATATTTAAATAAGGGAAAATGTAATAAAAAAACAATTTAATAAGAAATGATAAATTTAATAACAAAGGGTAAAATAGTCTTTTGTGATTGGTTTATCCTTAATTGCAACAAATCAATAGTTTAAGGGGCAATCTTTAGTTCAGAGGGGTTAATTGCAAAAAACCAATAATTTAGAGATTTTTTTGCACTTTACCCAATATATTTTTAAAATGGAAATGAATTTTTAATGGGATTTGAAATCTCATAATTAAATTCCTTGTTTTATAGTAGTTCCTTAATATGTGATTGCAACCAGGGACGGATGCATGTTCAAGGGTGTGGGGACAATTGCCCCCATTGAATTTTTTTTTTTTTAATATTTTACCCTTATAATTTAATCATTTTCAATAATATACATATAAAATATTACATTTGCCCCCACTAAAATTACTAGAAAAATGCACTATTGCCCCCACAAAATTCATTTTTGCCCCCACTTACCTTACATCCTGCCTCTGTCCCTGATTGCAACTGGTTTATAACTATAGACTATAGTTCATTCATTTCTTAGGATAATTTTAAATTTTAACAAAAAATTTTTTATTATAATTATTAAATATTTTACTATTTTTAATTTTTTTTTTACAAATTTTATTCTAGATTTGTTCAAAAAGTTTTGCATATATTATTTTTCTTAAAAGAATATATATCAGGACAAATTTGACTCTAATGCACGAGGAGTTTGGAAAAACATTTATATTTATTGAAATGGGTTAGGAAAAAGAATGTGTTTAGCCGGCCGAACCCGCCCCAATGACATTCAGTTAGCGATTGAGTAAATCCTATGTTTGTGCTGGAAAAATTGGCATACTCTGTTTGAGTAGGAGCAATTAAAGAAAATGTGGTCATGCTCTTCATCTTCGATCTCTAAAGCATAACGAAAATTCATGCCTGAAATACTATATTTTTGGTCTTTAGATTATTAGTGCATGCTAAAGTGATGCTTGTTCGTGTCTCCAACGAATTCCTCTTTGTTCTTCTGCTTCGCAAATTGTTTGGGAGATAATTGTACATTACCATTATGCAAGCCAAGTGCAAATACAGAATATAAAAAGCTTATATATTCACCAAAAATATATTATGGGTGCTTTAAGAGCTCGACAGACTCTGATACAATTCTAAAAATAAAAAAACTTTTTCATACATCCACTCCTTTCCGTTCTTAGTGTCTCTTTCATCAAGATTTATAACTTCCTCCTCGTCACTTGCCAAGCTTTAATTCTTGAAGCATATCAGGATCTGCAGAAACAAACGTACTAATCAATTATGATATAAAGCATGAATGAGAAAGAGATTTTAGAGCGAAAAGGTAAGACAAATAACTTCCTCCTCCGCAATAGTCCAGCTAGTACAAGCCCTTCGAATTTTACTAGATAAAACAAAACTAGTTTTTGGGGTTGTTTGAAAAATTATGGTAGTTTGGACTTTAGAGTTGGAAGCTTTTTGCATTTTGTGTATATTTGTAATGTTCTACCCATTTTATATTATTCATTTTTCCATACTTTTGGCGAGCTTAATGTAGTTTGTTTCTCCTTAATCATGTATACTTTTAGTAATAGTCTAATAAAAATAAATAAGATAAATTGTATTAAATTAAATATAAGATAATACTTGGGTAGTGTTTTGCTTTAACCAAAAATTATTTCAAAATCCAAGCCAAGCCCATTGGAAGAGACACACTCCATCATGCCAGGCCAGCTAGACATTAGGCAACTTAGACGGTCATCAATAGAAAGGTCCTAAAAATATTTATTTCTTTATATTACAAACTTCCAAAAACAATTTTATTTTCGTCTATTATTAGACTCAATCCAATAAAAATGGCCACAAAATTTTATATTTTCTTACATTATTACCTCTCTAAAAATTTAATAGTGAGCCAAAAAACAAAAAGTTTACATTCTTATCTCTAACTATATATATATATCTATATATATATATATATATATATATATATATATATATATATATATTTTTTCACTCTATTGTTTTTTTATTTTATTTTTATATTGCATTTAATTGTTGTTGTGAGAATTGGTGAACCTTCTCATATTCTCTTTAATATATGAATCTTTTTTATTTTTATTTTTGCCCCCTTATTTTTTACATAGAGAAAAATAAAGTAATGAGAATGTAGATAATATAAGGCAATTCAATCAACCTAAAAATCTTGTAAAATTAATTTATTCTTATAAATAGTTTACCAAGCTATTTCTTTAATTCATTGTATAGGTTTGAGCAATTTAAAACATATGATTTATTTTTATAATTAAAAGAACAAAAATACCTAAAATGAAAGGAGTTTTTCAAAATTAAAGTTGATAAAATCATATCCAACTTAACTATGCCACAAGAAAGATTAAATGAATTGACTATATTATCTATTAAGAAAGATACTTAAACTTGAATATAAAAATCTAATTAGTAAATATTATTAAATATTTTTTATATTAGGCATGCTAAGATATCTGAGTTGAATTTCTTTAATATCTTTGATACAATGATTGCTTATTTTATCCTCAAATATTTCTAATATAATCTGTCCTAATAAATATGTTAATGTGATCAGAAGAACTAAAACAAAAATTGAAATTGAGAATTTACCTTTGAAAAAAACAACACACAAAAAATTATAAGATAAAGGTGCACAATACCTATGGTGCCGGTTGAAACCATCCACAATATGGACTATCCGTGTACAGGCTATATATATTTAGTGGACGAACCATCCGATCTCCCAAGTCATACAACCCAAAATCACAGCTACCTGAGTTCCAATGTGCAAAGAGATCATCAACGAAAAAGATAGTGTTCTTCCTGAAATAGAAGGAGTTAAGGCTATATCCAGGATAGTGGGAGACAAGTTTAGAGTCGTGATGGGACAAGAAGAGGGCTTGATCACCCAAGCTATTCACCTCTTCCCATTTACCATTCCTCCAATCCAACTTGAAAATCTCGAACGACTTGGTTTTCATTTCCCCTGTTTGAAGGTGAAACCTCCTCACAACCATCATCAGAGACGAAGAAGACGGGGACTCAACCAGGTATCTATGTGGTGTCGTACCACCAATATCAACCGACACCACTTCCTCCTCGTAAGAATTATCTTCAATGTCGAACAATAGCCGTCGAACCACACCATGATTATCAGCTGCATAGAAGTGACCCTGGTAGAAAATGGCTTCAACCGGTCTTCTTGTGTTGTTTGAATTATTAAAAGTAAAGAGAGGCGACCACTTTTTGTGTCGTAGTACGTAAAAAGCCACCGAGTTTGAGCAAAGATTGTAGGCAAAAATGATACAATTGGGATCCGCAGCAGTGCATGAAGTGACGAATCTAAGCTGTCCATTCATACACAGTCGCCGTGGAGGTTCCCGAAGCTTGACTAGCATTCTTGAATGCGGATTGAAAAGATACAGTGGTGTTGTTTCAACAAGATCTGGTTCCGGATAAGAAAATTGGGAGACTGTAATTTGAGTACCGGTTGTTATATCAGTACCTGATAATATCAGGTGTCCCTTATATATAGTATCAATACGGGTTCGGAGTATAAGCACTAGTAGCCAACCACGGTAAGACGAGATGCATGGGGTTGAACCAAAACAAAGCGAAGGATTTTTGGGATATCAACCTCAAATCTCTTGGATTTTCTTTTAGGTAAGCAAAAAACTCTATTCCAATCTCTATCCCAATCTCTTGATAAGATGAGAGTTTGAAAAGCAAATATGAGTAGGAATGGAGGGAGAGCATGATTATTATTACCACAAATCATCCGAGCTGCAGCAGATCGCCACCAACGGCAGACGCCGCGACATCGGTTGAGATCGGACAAGTCCCGGAGATGGTCCAAGATCAAATCCAGCAATTCTTCCGGGAGGTCGGAGGGCCAACAAAACGGTGGTTGGGTTACCGAACAAGCCATTTGGTCTCTGAGCAATCCAAAGTACGCTTCTTTAGCCGTTGGATACCTAGCAATTACGTTAGATGAATAACCGATCGCCGTTAGCCTTCTTGGGCTTTGGGATTTTGGTGGTCGGGTTTGAGGAAGAGGCCGTGGAATGAAGATATATCGGAGGAGTGGTGGGTTATTATATATATATATAGGGTTAGGTTTCCTTTTCAAATTAGGGTTAGGGTTCGAGAGAAGTCATATTTCTAAAAGGGAAATTCACCAATCCAATCCAGGATATAAGTGTCTAACGACCGTTAACAGTTTACAACACAAAATTTGACGCCCCTCTCTCTCTCTCTCTCTCGCTCTCTAAAGTCCGATTTAGAAGCAAGACACTCTCTCTCTAACTTTGGCAAAGTGCTTACCTCAAGCCGATAGAGATAATTGCTGAGAAAAACAGATTTGATTAATTAATTAATATTGAACAAAAGCAACACCAACAGCTCCGTTCCATTGAACCTTCCTCTTCATTTTCTTCGACTCTAAGATCCCTTTTCCTGATCTTCAATTCTTGTATTGGGTTTTCTTTTTTCGTTTCTAAATTTTGGTTTTTTTTTTTTTTGCTTCATATCGATGCTTTTACGCAGATATATGTTGTTCCTGTTTATTTGCAATTTCGTTTTGGTAGGGACAATTGTCTGGATAATGTGATGATGATGTTTGATTTTTTTGGATTTTGTGTTGGACGGAGGTGGATTGTGGTGGCTGATCCGTCAGTTAAAATGCCCCCTCAATATAGGGGAGGGGGGTTTTCCTTGCTATCTCACAAGGAAAATTTCTTGCAAGTGAGTAATAGGCAAGGGTTTTTTTTTTTTTTCAATTCGCCTTAAAAAATAATGTACTGAAGACACAATACATATATATCCTTTTCTGCATTCTCTATATATTTTAATTATTATTAGATATTTCTTTCAAATTTAACCTTAATAAAAAAAAGATATCAAATCAAAATACAATTATAAATTATTGATGTTTAATCAAACACATTCAGATAAGCCTAGTAATACCAATAGTAGTGAGTGGACATAGTCTGAAACCATTGATCAAATGGAATAAAAGTTTCTGCTCACTTCAAAAAAATATAGATCACTCCTCATACTTACTTCTGTTCTTCTTTGTTTTCCTTGAGTCGTTCTGAATAAAACTTCTCAATGCCCTGGCAGTAGGGTAAAGATACTTGAATTCCCAAAACCAGCGGCAATCTCAATAGGAACACTGTATTCCATGAACAAAAAATAAATTAAAAATAGCAAAACAAAGAGAGAATAACCTTATATCAAGCTTGGTCCGTAACAATATTTTTGTTAAATCTATAGAATTTTATTACTCTCTGTGGTCCAATTATTAATATAATATGTGCATATAATTTGTAGTCATATATAGCATTACCTTCAAGATGATTTTCTAATTGCAAAAAAGGTTAATCATTTCCTTTGAATGTTAATTAAAGAAAAGTTGTGTGGTTCAAGCACCATATACCTAAGCAGAGTCTCATACTTTGGCTTGCTGTGAGGGGAAGACTATACACATTGGATGCCAAACCAGTTCTCCACAAGCACTACACAAACAGCTGCGACCTATGTAATTCAGATTGGGAATCCATGGATCACTTATTCTTCAAATGTGAGTACACTTCACACATCTGGAGATTTGTTCAAGAGGTGGCAGGGTTCTACATTGGGCCAGACAACTGGACTGACTTGGTACAATGGTGTGCTTCTCATTCGAGCTCACCAGACTTCTTAATCCATAAGCTACTTTGGGCTGCTGCTGTGTATTTTATTTGGACGGAAAGAAATGCAAGACCTTTTAAGAACCAATCAACCTCTTCCCACAATATTATAGCTCAAGTCAAAAGCTGTGTTAGAGCAAGACTAGCAACAACCAAGCTAAAGAAACAGCTCTGACTTGAAGAAGATTTCATCTCTCTCACAACTGCAATTACTTTTTCAGTAGGGCTGTTCCACAGTTTGTGGGCAAACTTTGCTAATATCCTGAAACATGATAGGTGAGACTAAAGTCTGAAGTTTACAGGGATGGAGTGGCCTCAAACAAAAGTTGGAGGCTTATATTGGTTGATGGGTAGTGAAATTGGAGGCCTACCTTAGATCCTGTGCACAAAAATGGCTACTGGTTTGACATTCTCAGACTAACACCATTGGTGTAATCCACAAAGTGGAATTTGGAGTCAGGATTGGAGGTCCTGTTTGGTGCTTGGGTGCAACCTGGTGTCCAATGATCACTGTGAAGACATCGTTGTGTCCTTTTAGAGTTATTCAGAAGGTGGAATTTGGAGTCCAAGATTAGAAGTTTTGTTTGGTGCTTCTTTGCAAGCTGGTGTCCAATGATCATTGTGATCAATGTGAAGACATTGTTGTGTCCTTTTGAGTTATATTGTCCTTAAGTTAAGGACTTATGTTTGTATGGTTGTATTTTGTTTATCCCCTTAATAGGCTCCATGTACATTCTTCCTATTCTATACACAAGCTTACCTTTTAAGAAAAGAAAAAAAGGTGATCAGAATATTCGATATATACATTAAAAGGAAAGAAACAAAACAAGAACATGCTAAAGAAAGCCAGACAAAGTGTAAAGTTGCACCACAATGAACACATCATCAAGTAAAACCAGCACTAACATGGCAATGAATTATAGAACCAGAGTAGTCCTTGGAATTTAACCACAAACTCTTACAATTCTTTAGTTACCGGCAAGTTAATTATGTGCATGGACATGGCATGACCAACACAAGTATGAACTTTCCTACTCAATTTCAACATATAGTCCCACAGTCCACAACCATTTATGGTACTCTTGATGCGTGGACGTGGCATGACCAACATCTATCAAGTTTAGAGAATGTGAATGTGATCATATATAATAACTAACAATGTGATCATAATAACTGTTAGAATGTTTCATATATATATATATATATATATATAGATAGATGTTGGGCCATTATGTAATTACATATAGTTGATAGGCCCTATTGTTATTACGTTAATCTTGTATACTTATATAAGCCAACATAGGCTTATTAGGTTAGTAGTATGATATATGTGATACAACTTTCTCTCTCTCTCTCTCTCTAAATCATGGTATCAGAGTAGTACGAACCAAAGGGAACTTAAGATTATAGTTGTGATTGCATCTACAAATCGAGATCGAAGGGTTTGACAGTCGTTCAGTTCAGAGCCCCCGGAGGATCGAAGCTGTGGTTGAGTTCAGCGTCCGTCATTTTCAGATCTGAAGCCTTTCGTTTTGTCAGCCGAGGCTTCCTTGGCTGTCGCAAGTTGCAGAGGTTCCATCATCGCGATCCATCTCCGCTCGGTTATTAGATCGCTACTTGTGTTGGGTTGCCGTCACCGCTGCAAGGGCTAGGGTGTGTACTAGCCTTTGATTTTCTATTGCGAATCTCGGGTGCGGAAATTTCTTATCGGTGGCAGTGTTCTGGTTCTCGCCGGCGCTGATTGTGAAGGAGAAGGGAGGTGTTTGGCTGCAGGAGTGAAGCTATTCCAACCCTGGTTTACTAAACTGGGGATAGCTATTCCAACCCTGGTTTACTAAACCTGAGATAGCTAAGATCCGGCCCGTTTTCCAAATCTGACCTGTTTTCCTAGGTTCGGCCAGAATACAGATTCTGCATTTTTTTTTCTCTCTTCTTCTCTATTTTTGCTGGGTTCACCATGGCATCCAGTTCAGATTTACTTTCTTTCACCTCCAATCTTCATTCTCCCATGACTTCAGTTAAACTCAATGGGAAGAATTACATACTGTGGGCTAAATCAGTTGCAATTTTTCTCAAAGGTAGAGGTCTTAGTACTCATCTGACTAAAGATAAACCCAAGGCCACTAATGCTTCTTTTGATACATGGGAAAAGGAAGATGCTCAGATCATCTCAGTGATGTTAAACAATATTGAATCCCAAATCAGTTCAACCTTACTTTATTTAGACACTGCCAAGGAGATATGGGACAGATTGCAGCAATTGTATTCTGGGACAGGTAATATCACTCGTGTTTATGAGCTCTGTAAGCAGTATTTCAGTCTTGAACAAGGTAATCACAGTCTAGAAGAGTATTATTCCAAAGTTATGGGAGTCTGTGAGGAACTGAATATGTATCAGCCCATTACTGCTGATGTTCGTAGTATGCAACAACAACGTGCGGACTTTAATGTTGTCCGTTTTCTTACTGGTTTGTCATCTGTCTATGAGTCTTTTCGTGCACAGATTATGGGCAGTCCCACACTTCCATCTCTTGCTGAAGTGTTTTCTCGACTTCAGCGTGCTACACTTGCCAGTGACACCTCAACTTTGAATACTGGACAGAATGGTGAGCGTTCAGCATTGGTAGTTTTAAAGGGTGACCATAGTGCTTACCGTGGCGGTCGTAGGGGACGCTCCACACGTGGTGGTCGTGATTCACGAGGAGGACGTGGCCTTGGCAGGGAATTTCAAAAATTCACTCATTGTGGCCTTTCTAATCATATTGTGAATTTTTGTTGGGATCTTCATGGCAAACCATCTAGTTATGCAAATCAAGTTTCCTCTTCTCCAACTGATGTTACTTCTGGATCTCACAATGTAGCTGAATCGGATACAGTCCCAGTTCCACGTGATGAGTATACTCAGTTTTTGTCTTATAAGCAAGCATCTAATTCATCTTCCACGGCTACATTTGCCCAGTCAGGTACTGCACACACTTCTATTGTCTTCCACTCGCAGTCCTTGGATCATAGACACTGGGGCATCCGATCATATGACTGGATGTTCTTCTCTTCTATCTGATTTTAATTTTGTACCTTCCTCTCAAAGTGTCACTCTTGCTAATCGTTCGTCCACTACGGTTTCAGGTTTGGGGACAACTCAACTTAATGATTACTTGTCTCTTTCGTCTGTTTTATATGTTCCTCAGTTTCCCTTTAATTTAATGTCTATCAATAAGCTTACTAAATCTTTCCAGTGCTCTATTACATTTTATCCTACTTCTTGTGTGTTTCAGGATCTCAAGACGAAGAAGACGATTGGTACGGGACATGAAGCTGGTGGCTTATATTACTTTGATTCGGAACCTTATCCTGTGGCTCTTCAGTCTTCTCTGTCTCCATTTCAGTGGCACTGTCGTCTTGGTCATCCGTCACTTCAAGTCTTGAAGCGTCAAGTTCCTAGTCTTAGTCATTTGAAATTCTTGTCATGTGAAGTTTGTCAATTTAGTAAGCACCATCGTGGGTCTTTCAAGTCTAGGGTTAATAATCGTGTCTCTAATCCTTTTCATTTGGTTCATTCAGATGTATGGGGTCCAATAAAACATTCTTCAATCAATAAATTTCATTATTTTGTGACATTTGTGGATGATTATTCTCGCCTGACTTGGTTGTTTCTAATGAAAGATCCGAGTTATTTTTAGTTTTTCAAAAATTTAGAAAAGAAATCAAAACTCAGTTTGGATGGCCAATTCGTATTCTCCGTTCTGATAATACTAAGGAATATTCTTCAACCCCTTTTGATACATATCTTAGTGATAAAAGCATTATTCATCAAAATTCATGTGTTTATACTTCTCAACAAAATGGGGTCGCAGAACGTAAGAATCGACATCTTTTAAAGGTAACCCGTGCTCTTTTGTTTTATATGCGTCTGCCTAAACGGTTTTGGGGTGATGCTGTTCTTACTGCCTGTCATCTTATTAACCGTATGCCATCATCTATATTATATGGCAAATCTCCATATTCTATTTTATTTCCTGACTCTCCCTTGTTTTCTCTTACTCCTAGAGTTTTTGGATGTGTATGTTATGTCCACAATCTTGGTCCTGGTTTTGATAAACTAGACCCCCGTGCCACAAAGTGTGTATTTCTTGGCTACTCTCGTTCTCATAAAGGTTATCGATGCTATAGTCCTGTTTCCCAATAGTACTTTATTAGCGTGGATGTAACCTTTTCTGAGACCATCCCATATTTTTCAGATCCTGATTCACTTCTTGATATCACTCCTGAGTCGCCTCTTCCTGTGGTTTCTCTTCCCTCACAATCTCTTCAACCTAGATCTCCTTCGCCTGCCCCGTTACAGGTATACAGCTTTGTCTTTCTCTCCCTCTCTCTCTCTCTCTCTACCATGATTTAGAACAACAACTAACACAAAAGTCATAAGATTAAATCTTAAATAGATGAGATACGCAATACATCAAATTGTACCTATACTGTGTGTTGA